TATATATATATATATATATATATATATATTTATTTATTTTTATTTTAAATGTAAATCAGTTCAAACCTTTTTAGTGAATCAATTCAAAACTCAAAATATAATTTTCATTATCGTGCATTATTAAAATGTGCCATTGAAAATGCATTTTTCATGTATTAAAATATTGGTAACACTTTTAATTAATTTTATTTGTTAACTAACAATAAATAATACTTCTACAGCATTTAATAATCTTAGTCAATGCTATTTCAACATTTAATAATGAATTTTTGATATCAAAAGGTATATTTGTTAACATTAATGCACTGTTTGATTTAACATGAACAAACAAGTACATGAACAAAGTATTTTTTTATTAACTAACATTAACAAAGAATAATAAATACTGTAAAATACGCATTGCTCATTGTTAGTCAATGTTAGTTAACTAATAATGTTACCAAATAAGAACTTATTGTAAAGTGCAACCAAAATCTTTTAGTAAATAGTGTATATTGCAGATCATGACTATGAATTGTTATACTGGCGCATATAAATTAAATTTATTCCATTTAAATCACCAGCTGAGGTGTGTATTTTTCTTTCTAACAATTATTTTTAAATATTTAAGAGAAATACACACCTCAGCATGTAAAATTATAAAATGTATATATATAGAGTATATATAAATAACCACAAGGTTGAATAAAAAATAAAATATGTAAATAAAAATTAAATACCATTGTTTTGAGCTATACTGTGGAGCACTATGTAGTGTAGGTAGCAGGCAGTCAGAGGAGGGCCCCAGACACAGGGCCCTTATAGCGAAGCAGATCACAGCTATCCACAGGCACTTTGGACTGCATTTAGCAGGATGAATTCATTAAGGAGCGCTTTCTCTCAAGTGCTCTCTCTCTGACAGCTGCTCTCTCTCTGTAGAACCCTGCAGCCAAACACAGATCAATGGGAGAAATACATCCACAGGAGCGTTTAACAGCAGACCTTGGAAGACGGGGAGTGTGTTTAAGACATCAGTGCATCTATATCCTCCAGATCTGAGAAGTGAAAGTGTTCTGCCGAGAGAGAGCAGAGCTCTGGGTGGGAGGAGAAGAGAGACGCCGCGTTTAAACTCACAACAGGGATTCCGAGCGGTTCAACTCTCACATGCACGTTATGTCATATGAATGCCGCACAGGATTTCTGATCACTACAGAGCTGCAGATTCTCACATGCCGCCCAACGGGTCACTCAGCAGATGGCAGTCAGAGAGACATGCTAATTGTGCAGTGTGCACTACAGATGCTGCCAAAGGCAAGGTCTCTGACAACCGATTTCTCAATCTTTCAATTTCAAACTCCTGTATCAGAATGATTTGGCACAGAATATTGCGAAAGTATCAATATGCACGCTAACAAACAGAGACAGAAAACGAAAAAAGCACAGGCTATTTACACCAAGTGAAGGTATGATCTTTTTTGTAAACAGTGATAAATACTGTTTGGACAAAGTGTACTGTAAATAGCAACAAATAACATTTTGTTTACACTAAGAGCTAACATTGATGGTATTTGCACAAAGTGTAACATGCTGTTATACTATTTGTACTAAGGGTAGATTGTCTGACCAGTAGTGGCTGGTAAAAATAGCCTTTGCCAACAAGGTTGGCTATTTGCAATTGGTGTTAATTATAAAAAAAATAAAATAATATATAATAAAATAAATAATAATTGAAATAGGAATAAAAGAGAAGAAAATATAGGAAATAGGAATGAAAGAGAATTAAAATAAAGTTGCCAGTAGGGTGTCAAGTATTGTAATAAAATGAACACAAATCTAATGTATTCATATTTACCTCATCAAATAACATTTGTATTATACAGGATTTATTTTCTTTTATTATGTGCTATTTATTACAAACAAATGTATAATTGTATAAAACAAAAGAAAATATATCTCTCTTTCTTTCAATTTCTTGTTTTATGGCAAATTCATACAATTTTAACAATCAAACAATTAACAGAACATAGTAGCTACTGTTTGTATGTTTCCCACAACTAAGGTAACTGCAAAATAAACTGTTTTTAAAAAAGGAAATCTCACCTTTTAGAAGTAGAACAGCACCTTCGGAAGATAATCCATAAAATAATCCATCCAATTTACAAGTGATTAGTCAGATTGTGTTTAGTTGCTAAAAGCTAACCTGAAGAGCTCACCTGCAGGAGCGAAGAACCGGTTTAACAATCATTTACTGCCATCTTGCGGCGAGCGCCATGTAACGCAGACCTCACACTGTCCTGACAGTGCAGATATGTTGTCTTTCACTGCTCTGTTTATTTGTTACATAGTTACGTTATGTAAATCTTCCCACACAGTGAGGTAGATATGTGGGGGCATGTTAGAACGAACCGTTTTAGGAGGGCGTGGTTGACTCTTAACTTTTATAAAGAATATCTGTTTGGATTTGAGACTTTAGTCTTTGCAACTTTACAGATCTTCTTTATGCACCAAGAGCTTGTAACACTCCAAACAGAAAGGAAAAATTGAAATCGCATCATATGACCCCCTTTAAGATATTAAAACGTAATGTTCTCTGAACGTTCAAATCGTCCATTATTTTTTTCAAACGTTTTAAAAACGTTTTTTCTTGGTTATACAAACATTCCACTTTATCATTTTGCAAACATTATGGGAATGTTACTTTTGTATGTTCTCTATAAAAAAATGTTTAACATCTAAATAAAAAGTTTCAGAAAGTTCAAAGTTCCATGAATAAACAATGTTTTTGTGAACTAAAAAACATTCTATTAACAGAAGAACATTTATTCATAACAACCAATCAAAATGGGGCTTACTTTCTATAAAATTAAAGTCTTTCTCTCTCTCTCAAAATGCAGAAGTTCCCTCAGCTGTGTTGCTTTGCCCTGCCCTTCTGTCCAGTTGTTCCTGAACTGACTCAGTGGGGTTTTGAAGTGAAGGTTGTCCTGGCATAGCCTGGAGGTTTGTTTCGGGTTCTTTTCTTGCTGTAAGGATGAACCCCTGACCCACTAGCTGAGACCAGAGCGTGCAGCATTGTGCTGTGAGGATGTGCTAGTGTCTTGCTTGCAGGGAGCCACTCACTTTAAGCAAATCACAGACTCTGGATCCAGCAAAAGATCCCTGGAGCATCATGCTTCCTCCTCCGTGTTTGACTGCTGGTGTCACACAATAAGAAACATCCTTTCAGTTTAATGGCTTCAAGACCTTATTCCAATCATAAATAGTCCACCGGTGGGTCTTCATGGGCTATTTTGTTATACAGAAACTGCAGGTCTAAAACTTTTAACCTATTGATTAACCTCTTAAAAGTCAAAGTTTGTGCAATAAAAGTAGAGCAAAAATAATTATGGATTTTTTGCATCCTACAGATGAATATATCATATTTGACAGCCTGGTTGTGCAGAAAACCATGGAAAAATACAGTAACACTTCATTTAGGGACCAATTCTCACTATTAACTAGTTGCTTATTAGCATGCACATTACTAGAATATTGGCTGTTTGTTAGTGTTTATAAAGCCCATATTAATGCCTTATTCTGCATGACCATATTTTAGATCCCTTAATCCTACCCAATACCTAAACTTAACAACTACCTACTATTAATAAGCAGCAAATTAAGAGTTTATTGAGGCAAAAGTCTAAAATACTAATAGGCCATTGCAAAATAAGACATAAGATCATTTTGGATGGAACAAGGTTTTTCAAGTTTATTTGCTGTCAGTGTCATGAAACATACAGGAAATAAAAGTACAAAAATGTGTTTCATAATTATTATGAAAAACAACAACAACAGTTCAGTGTTGCACTGAAAAAAACAACAAAGAAGCAACATTGAAAAGTGAATCTACTGTAAATGAACAGGCACACAGTTACTGAGGAGCAGACATTTGATCAGATATGATCTGATTGATATATGCTGGAAATATGACTGCTAGTATAATTGAAACGATGTTTTATTCAACCAGAAACATAACATGCCCAGGCCAAATTTCATCTTGAAACTGAAAAAAATTGTTATATGTCATAAGAAAATTACATTTAAGGATGATTACCACAACAAAACCTTTTAATAATTGTAATTATTTTCTGCATTACAGTAATGAGAATTCTTGGGGAAAATGTGCTTAACTATCATTAAAAAAATTGTCATTTTTCCTTTTGATTTTGTTGTTACTTACTGTATAACCCAGTTTTTGAGGTTTTGTGAGATTGCACTGTACAGAAAGCATGAATTGAGAAGATAAACATACTGTGCACTCCAGCATTCACACAGCTGTAGAAAAAAAGACAGATGAATATGACAGCAATAACAGAGCTAAATATTAAAATAATAATAACAACAGTAATAAAACTAACAGTCAGAGAAAAAGAAATCTTATCATATCCTGGATCAGAAGTCAAGTTACCAGTGTTCCAACTACAGTGCAATTATGACCTTGGCCATCAGAGAGGTTTTTTAAATGCTTTTCAATTTTTTTTTCTTTTAATATACAGCTGTAAAACCATTTATAATATTGTGTTCATTTTACAAGTCATTCTACAAGAAACATACACAGAAAAGATCAGAGAGGATGCAGAAAACACACCAATTGTTCATTTCTACAACAGAAATCGCAGCCCATGATGGTCATTTAGACAGTTTATTTGTTTGTCTTATCGAGTCATTTATTCTATAGAGTCTATAGCTTGGTTATTGTACAGTTATACTGGCTATTCAAAACGGATCATAGGTTATTAGTTTTTACATGAGCTCTGCCAGATCTGAAAGTCGTGTGTCTCCTGGAAAAACCGCCACTTTTGATCATTTCACTATTACAAATATTCCAATCCAGGTGCGTGACGCCGTTTACCTGAATTCTGCCGTGTGTCTATAAAAATCTATTTCAAATGTACAACAATTGTTTGATCTGTCATTCGTGGTGACGGGATTTCTCTCACCCATGCATGCAGCTCTAGAATGTAAACCATCATTGATACATTCCACGGCGTGATACAGCAGAGGATAATGTCAAGTGTTCATGTTATGTGCGTTGGTGACGGGTCGTCATTTACGGCATGCACGGATACAGATTCTCTTCAGCAAACAGGACATTTCTCGCAACAAATTAGATTAGTCATAGACTGCAAAAAATAATTGTAATATTTTTAGTTAATAAAAATAAATATCTTTTACATTAAAATAAAAACGTCATAATAATAATAATAATTATTATTATAATAAAAGTTTTGTTAAAAAATAGGGCTATACAGTATTTTGTACTCTATTCATGCTGAAAGTAGTCTTTTACCCAGGATTTGTCTTAGATGGCAAAAAATAACAATTGAAATATTTTTATTTAATAATTAAATAACTTGTTACATTAAAATATAATTATTATTATTATTATTTATTATTATTATTAGTAGTAGTAGTAGTAGTAGTAGTATAAACTGAGAATACAAGTATTTTGTACCCTATTCATGCAGAAAGGAAGTTAAATAATTTTACATTAAAATAAAAATGTCATAATAATAATAATAATAACAATGATTATATTAATAATAATAATAATAATCATTATTATTAATAATATTATTATAAAATATTTGCTGGAAAAAAAACTGTACCCTATTTGAGCTGAAAGAAGTCTTTTACCCAAGATTAGTCTTAGATGGCAAAATGAAAAATCGTAGCATGTGCACCCGGCTGTAGTTTGCTCACACCATACACAGACCCAAGCTGGTCTGCCGTTAAACCTTAGCTTTGATTGATAGCTTAATAAGATGGTCTCATCCACACTGAGAGTGTTTGTATCAGGACAGAGTACGTTATACATTCCCATCTACATTTGCGCACCACAGACCACAGATCATCCCTCGCTGAATATCAGGGTCCTCAGAAGTCCAGTCTGTTTAGTGATGCTCGTCCTTATCACAGTCTCAGAGTTCAGAGTTCAGAGCCTAGTGCTCATCAGGGAGTGGACAGTGAAAGGGTTTCCTGTCCAAGGCACAAGCTGCGGTTCAGAGGGTGATGCGGGCACAGTGATGTTTGAGCTTGCAGGGCAGAACGCCTCTGTTCAGCTGGTAAAACTCCACTAGTTGCAGCAGGTCAGTGAAACGCGTGTGTCCGTCGTCCAGACTGTAGAAGAGCTCGCCGTTCTCTTCAACCTGACAGTCACACACACAGGAGAGTTATGGGACAAACAGATATCCCAACAAATACATTTACTGCCACTTTCCATCGACACGGTACACTTTTTAAAAGCATCAGAAGCACAAATCTCATATTTTGTGGACTTTTCAGATAAACTATAATCTGACATCAAACTAGCCTGACATAAAAAGGTCATTTTTAGTATCACAAATTGATACTCTAATTAATTGTAGTGTGTAACAACGTTCGTAGGTTGGGAAGAAGGAGACGGGAGCCGGCGAACATTTAAACAATTTAATAAAATAAACAAACACAAAATGAAAGTAAAGCAGCAGCCCCTCACGGACGACTGCCGCACACAAAACACAAAATAAAATCCAGGCCTGGTCCTCCCTCGTCCAACACTGTCGTCACTCCTCCTTTTATGCTTCCGGAGCTCCTCCGTGGGACTCGAGACCGGTGAGTGG